CCCCCCCCCCCCCCCGGTGCAAGACGCCCCCAAAAGAGGATGCCGCAGGGATCCTTAAATAAAACACACGCCTGGTTTGCGGTGAAAACATTTATTTTACAACAGTTATCTTTATTTTAAGGTCAACATTCAGACATACGAAATGGAGATCATCACGGGACCCATCCTAACCCTCCAGCCTGGCCCTCAAGGGTGCACGTGGGAGCCGGGGTCAGGGGCACCTGCCCACCTCTGTGGGTTCCAGCAACAGGACAAAACCGGCGCATGGACGGCTCTTTCCATGCATTTGTATTTAGTATTTAAAAACAATGTATATATACACGTGTCTATTCCAGAGTGAACTGCCTTCCCTCTCTTAGCTTGAAACACTGTCCCATTTCCTAGGGAAACAAAATCTGCGAAAGGTACTGCCTGTGGACCCTGAGCCCAGCCCCTTCCTGGAGGGTGGCCCCGTGTGGCCCCTGCTCCTTCCCAGTGGACCCCTCCCAAAGCAGACCTGTGGGCAGGAGACAGCATCCCCTCTAGAATGCATTTGTCAGGGGCTGTATCCCATGCTTAGAAAACCGGTTTTAATGTTTCGAGGGAGGGAAGATTTCCAGCCACCTGGAGGTCCCAAAGGGTCACTCACTGGAGTGTCAGGTGAGCATGAAGGGTGGGCCCCCAGAGATGGGGGTGGCACTGGGGGACGGTCCACCACGGTAGCCCTGGCACCCTACCTGGCCGTTCACACAAACCCTAGGGACACAAGTGGGTCGGTGTTCACTTCTGCGCACCCGGCGAAGGAGCCTACCTGCCTCCAAGACCCTGCTCTTGACCCAACTCACCAGGAAACCCAAGGCCGTTTTGGGGCCAGCTTTTATTGTACTTGTTGCCGCTGGACAGCAGCAATCACGCCTGCCGCGGGATATATACATATTCACATATGTACACACACACACACACGCACACCCACTGCCCACACCTACAGCACAGACAACGCCAACCGTGCTCGTAAGGACAGTAAAAACGTAGCTTTCGCCAATTCCACAGGAGGGTTCACAACCAAAGTAACAAAAACAAACAGGGCGGTCCTGTGTCACACGGGCTCACAGATCAGCGTGTTGAGAAAGGAATGAGGTCGCTCCTCCCACACCCTCACGTCCGTCCCTCTGGTGGGATCTGCTGAGAGCCGGGGGAGGCCGAGCTTCTCTTTCCCCCCCCCCCCCGCCCCCGGTGGGAGCCCGTGGGCAGGCGCCTACCCCACCTGCTGGTGGTGTCACCCCAGCGTCTCCCAGACGGCCAGCGGGCACTCCTCCAGCAGAAGCTCACCCGACGGCCCCCCTGCCGTCAGAACTCGTGGGAACAGGCCTTTCCTGGAGCAGGAGCCTCGTGGCCACACCTGGTGGTCAAGGGTGTGGAAACGCCACCTGCTCTAACCTCAGCACACTCTGGCTTCTTCTCCAGTGGGTCCCCATGGGTGCCAAACCGCGCTGACTGACCAGGGAACTAGGAAAGCTCACACGCCGAGCGGTCATATCTAAAGCAGTTTGAAAACAGAACAAAGCCAAAGGAAGACAAGACAAAGGAAAGAAGACCACATCACGGGGCAGGAACAGAACGCAAACACCAGCAACCACCATCAGACGCCCTGCGAGTCTCCTGCGTGTTTCCTGCCATCCTGAAGCGGTCGCTGCTGCCAGGCCCCTGAGGGCATCTGGGCAAGCCCTGCGCTTTGCGGAACAGGACGGGCTCCAGCCCACACTGGCCCGGCGCTCTCTGGCCACACATGGCCTTGGCTCGAGGAGGGTGGGTGTGTGGGGGAGGGAAGCAGAGGAGGTAAGTGGAGGGGGGAAGCG